ATAAGTATATGAATGAAAAGGGCTGGGTTTAAGATTTTTTATCTTATTTTTTTTAATCATTTTAATTTAGTTTTGAGGATGGAACAACCGAGATGGACCAATAGGTTCCATGTTGTCCCAAAATATTATGTTCTGTTAAAAACAATAATCATAATTCATGGATACACAACTACTAAATCAAAATGTAACAGCTATACATTCTTAATAAGACAGTAAAATATGAATATAGACAGAGAGAGAGAGAGAGCTTTTATCGGTACTGTAATAGATTTTAAATTAAATAAAGTCCTATTTCTATACAAATGAAATGTACTCGGTTGTTGAAAGCATGAAAATAAAGTCTTAATTTCTATATATATATATAATGTTTTGTTTAACTTTGTATAGTTACAACGGTACTATGACATGGAGTTGTTTTGCAACAGTTATAAATATAAAGTTAAATACAAGTTTTTTTCACAGTTCTCTCAAGTTGTCTAAGATAATAATTTGTTTTACAGTAATAGATAAAAACTGTATACCACTTTATTCTTAGAAGAATACTATACTATCTGTATTAACGTAAAGAGATATACAAGTATTCTCCAAAATCTTGAGAAAACCAAAAATACACAGCATGATACAAACTCTGCATGTAGATTTTAATTTAATACATTATCTTAAGTAAAATAAATCAACGTGAAAGGATACGTGATAAGATGACTTACGAGAAAATCGGCCTGTGTTTTATAAAGGGTCCCCATGTCGAAAAATAAGAATCTATCTACAATTGCCCTCTTTTGAGGATCTTTTGGATATATCGTGCCATCTGGTGCATACTTGTTGGCAATATATTGCATTATGCACCGACTGTAGAAGAAAAAGAAGAAGAATGCTCAGTATACTCACTCAGTAACTAACATATATATATATATATATATTACTCCAAAAATTAAAAGGGTAAGATTTTTTATATTCCATCTGCTTTTTAAGTAAACAACAGAGGTGAAGTTAGAGTGTATCTCAAAAGCACCACTTATTACCTGAATGCAGTTTATGAGTCAACTTCATTGAAATATAATAATAGGTATAACCAATAGAATGTTAGTACCCTAAAATTCAAAATAGAATTAGAGTCTGATTGAATAAAATTGTCTAAAAAAGTCATTTACAAAAAAAAAGGGGGGAGGGGTACTCATAAGTATTATACCCCCTTTTACAGGATTTGAACAATTCCTGCATCTGCATGGTTATAACTTGGATCGGTTAGCAGAAAATGCTACTTGAGTGTCTCATTCTTCAATCAGCAGATATTGTGTGGTGGATTAAAGCATTGCATCAAAGGAGATGCAAGTTAGGAATTCTTACCAGTCAGTCCAAAAACTCCATAACATATTGTTCACATTAGTTCATCACAATGCTGTCAGTATGACCCATAACGTATCCTGCACTGGAACACAGTTTGAACTGATTGTACTCAAGAAAGATCATGCAACTGGTTTCAGTACCAAGTGAATGAGGTTTTGAGAAGTAACTTCACTCCTCAGAAGAGCAATAAAATCTGCTTGTTTAGTCATGTTGTTGCTTCCTTCCACCATGACTGAAATGTCCCAACAATAAACTTTTAGTGCACTAGGCATGAATCTTTTGATAAATGGTAAATGCATTAAAACTCAAGTTATTTGGTGAAGATCAGTGATATAGCTGCCAAACGTCCAAACAAGGTGTGTGTGTCAGTTGTGGGACTGAATAGAGAGTCTTTTCAACCTTAAACCAAATTCATATAACCTGGCCCTTACAATTCGGTCAATGATAATATATCTAGTCACTCTCCTGAATTTCCTATACACTCCATAGACAGTGAACTGCAATTCCACTAAGTCACATTGTGCAGAAAATCGTTGTTACATGTTTACCCTCAATGACCTTTTGAGTTTCATATAAAATAACTTCGTGGTTTTCGTTATTACGTTATCACCTATTTTAAGCCTAAGTCAATAAATATAGTAACGCACAAGAATCTGTCTCACTATTCACTTTGAAACATTCTAAAATGTATTAACATTTTCACACAGTCTAGGTAACTGAATTATCAGAATAATATATATATTTTTTAATCATTTAAGTAATTAATATAAAAAAACCAAATTATTATGTGAGGCTTGTTTAAACATTTTGCTTGTTGTTGTATAGTAGCAATTTTTTGCTGCTTAGAAGAAAATGCGATATAAGTTGTAGAAATAAACATAACATCTCAATGCTTACCTTTCCCACAGGTAAAAACCATTGTCATCCAGTGTTGGAACACAATGTTGAGGGTTCATCTAAAAAGTCAATTGGCATTAGCAACATTTTCCATTATATATATATAGATTAAGCAAAAGTAAGATCTATTTTTATTGTATCAAAATGCTGAATATAATGTATTAATCAGTTTACTTATGCTTATAATAATGTGTTATCAACAGAAAAGGAATACTTTTTCAAATAATTTTGTTATTAGTTGTCAAGGAATATAGTTTTTTAAAGACACTTTTCACTTTCCTTATAGATTTCATGCAGTATATTGTGTGTTTATTAAGATATATATTCTCCAGTAAATGTTCGTTCTAATAGTTGTGAACAACTTTTTTTTTTCTTTTTTAGTTGTAGTGTTATCATAATTTTTCACATGTATACAACAAGACTTTTATAAAAATGCAAACATCTTTATTTATCCCTACTCTGTAAAATAAGTATCCATACAGAAACAAGAGATATGTTGAGAAATTTAAAATTCTAAAAATTAGTATATGATAGTTAAAGTATATTTTGGCCAAATAGCAGGGTCATGCACAAGAAAAAGGGGGTTAGACGATATTTACAATCTTAATAGGGTTTCATGTTTTAAAAGGTTACCACCATTTTAGTCAACAA